TTGAACTCTCAGAGATCCGCCTGCCTCTGCCTCCCGAGTGCTGGGATTAAAGGCGTGCGCCACCATGACTTACATCATTTTTAAAGTATGGAGATCTATCTAATGGCTATAATGTTTCAACATAGCCTTGTTTATGAATTCATTTTAATGAACACATGAAATTTTGTTAAAATTTGTTAACGTTTGATAAAATTGAAATTATTTTCAATAATTAACTATATTATAATTATTAACATAGTTTCTGACATAGCTCAATGGGTATAGGAGTTAAACAAAGATTTCTTTTGTTCACAGGGCTGAAAATTAACTTTAAAAATGAAAGTTCTGAGAAGGGTGTGGTGGGACAGCAGCACTTAGGAGGCAGAGGCAGGCAGATCTCTGTGAGATCAAGACAAGCCTGGTCTACATAGCAAGTTCCAGGAAGCTGGAGCTACAGGGAAATCCTATTATAAACACACCACACACACACACACACACACACACACACACACACACACACACAGCTCTTAGGTAAAGAGAAAAGGTGTTCAGGGCCCATGAAGTGCTGATCTCAAGGTAAATCACTCTCAGTGGAATGCTTTAAATTGGTCCAGGAATCCAAATTGCTTTGAGGAAGAAAACAAAGACTGGGAAGTTAAATACCTGAGGTCCAGTTCTAAGGGTAAGAGATGTAAGGCAGCTGGGTGCTAAGCAACAGGGTGGATGCATTCACTGGCAGCGGCAGCGAGCTGAGGCAAACAGGCAAAAAGCTTCTGCCTCCTCACATCTGGGCTGCAGCCAGAAGGTGTTGCTGGATCTTGGTAAGGTCTTCCCCCTTCAGATTATCCTTCTAGGAAATTCCCTCAGAGACCCACCTGGATCCAAGCAAGTTGATAACCAAAGTTAGCCCTCATAATTACTAAGTGGAATAATGATTGAAACTTTGGGAAATGCGTTATGTGGATTAATTTTTTTTTTTTTTTGAGGTAGGATCTTCCTGTAGCCCTAGCTGACCTAGAACTCATTATGTAGACTAGTCTAGCCTCAGTATTAGACATCAGCTGGCGTCTGCCTTCTGAGTGCTGGGACTCAAGATGTGTGCCACCCTACCTGACTGGCTTAATTTTTTAATTTGAAGAGTTCCCATTTAATGGAGAGTTCCCCACTGAGAATACAATCATTTTAGCTAATTCTATCTTGCCAGTTCCAGGGCAGCCTCACAGAAAGAATGATACAATGCTCAGAGTTGAATTATATAGCCAGTACAGTCCTATATCTGATGCTTACTAATACTTGACATATTGCTCAACTTTATTTAGAGTCTCACTTTTTTTGGGGGAGGGGGGCTTTTTGAGAAAGGGTCTCTCTGTAGCCCCAGCTATCCTGGAACTCACTATGGAGACCAGGCTGGCCTCAAATTCACAGAGCTCCTCCTGCCTCTGCCTCCCGGGTACTGGGATTAAAGGCATGCGCCACCACACCCGGCTGAGTCTCACTTTTTATTATAAAATATGACTCTGAATAGTATTGGCTTCCATTAGCTTTTGTGATGACTAGGAAAATTTATGAAAAATATGTATCAGATGGTTTGGTAGCAAGTGCTCGAAAAATGGCAGGCACATGTTTTAAATATTTTACATATATTGGGGCTGGAGCGATGGCTCAGAGGTTAAGAGCACTGGCCGTTCTGGCAGAGGAACCATGTTCAATTCCCAGGACCCACACGGCAACTAACAACTGTCTGTAACTCCAGTTCCAGGGGTTCTGATGCCCTCTTCTGAACTCCATGCGGTGCACTTTCTGTAATTCTTGTAACAATCCTATAACATTACAAATATAGAAATCAAAGCCCAGAAAGTTTAAACAAAACCCCCAAATATAAAGAGCCAGCAAGTAGCTATATTAGATAGCTATCGCTGTCTAACAAACCAGTCCAGACCATTCTCACGTTATTGAGAGAACATCAGTATTCCATCGATTCAACTTAACCCTATTGCCTTCTCACTGAGCTCAAAGAAAGCTTTTGATAAGCTCAGTGCATGTCACTCCCAAGCTCAAAGTCAGCTCCTGCTGTCTGATGGGTCTTTTGGTCTGAAGAAGGATTGAGGATATTGCTCAATTCTAACATCTTGAATGTGGGAAGTGGGCCAGAAGGAAGGGGGGGGCTATTTTCCTTTAAGAAATATATTTATTTATTATTTTTATTTTATGTATATGAGTTTATTGCCTGCACGTATGTAAGTGCACCCATGTTGTACAGTGCCCACAGAGGTCAGAAGGAGGGCATTGGGTTTCCCTGGAACCTGAGTTAAGAGTGATTGTTAGCTACCATGTGAGTGCTGCGAACAGAACCCAGGATCTCTGGAAGAGCAGTCAGTGTTCTTAACCACTGAGCCATTTCTCCAGCCCTGGGGAATATGTTCTTACATTGTCCTTTGGCCTTGTCATTTCTCTCCATCTCAGGTCCAGGATTCTCACGAATTCCTGGGCCTTCTCTCTGCTCTTGGTGAACAATTCCTTCTTCAAAGTCTAAACCCCTTCTCGTGGCTAGGGTCTGTGGATGGACTGATGTCTCCTCCTGCCAGGACAGTGGTCCAAGTCTGCCTGTCTCTTGGGGTCAGTCTCTTCCTTGCTTCCCCTGGTTCAAGGCAGTCTGGGGGAATCATGATGCCTGTCTTGCCCACTGGACTGTACCCCCTCCATGCTGATCTGTTCCTAGCACTTGTTATTTCCTAGGAAGAGACAACTAGTGCCAAGTGCCACTCCTCTCAGGCTTGTTCATGTGGTGTGACAACTAACAAAGTGCTGTGTTTTCTTCACAGGGATGGGGGGTGGAGTGGGGAGGGGGGTGAGTTTTTCCCTATGCCCTGACCTTGATCCAGAGTTGAAATTTTTACTGGATTCTGACAATTGGTTTCCTCCATTATTCACTGTGTCTTTATTATTGTGTTAATAGTTTAGAGTTTTAGTATATGCATACTTTTATTTTTTTGGTCTTTTTGAGACAGGGTCTCCCTGTAGTCCCAGCTGGCCTGGAACTCACTATGTAGACCAGGCTGGCTTTAAACTCACAGAGAGATGTCTGCCTGCCTCTGCCTCCCAAAGGCTGGGACTACAGGTGTGCGCCACCATGCCTGGCTTATATGCATACTTTTATTATAAGTAGCTCCAAATTCTTTTTGGAAGTGGGGTTTGGACATCATAAACATGTAACAAACCATCAAGCCAGCTTTACCTCTTAAGAATCAGATTCAGTACCCAGTCTAGGTCTGTTTAAATTTTTTCTCTGGGAAGAAAGTGACAGATTGAGAGAAATGATCTTTAACTTCCCAAAATGACCCATTCATATTAGTTGGATTTTTTTCAGGTGGAGCTTATTCTCCAATGTATCAAGCCAATATCTCTGGAACTGTGGCATAACTAAATATTTGAGTAGAGAAAATAAACAAATAAAAATGAGTAAAATGGCCCAGGCAACTGATAGCTATCGGCTTCGCTGTATGGTGTGCATCCACCAAGCAAAAACTGCCGCACAGAATGTCAACTGCGATTAGAGAGGTCAGCCTATGGTGTGATGGCAGAAGACAAAAATAAGGGCAGTTCTTAGTGAGGACCCAACAGAACACGCCGCGGCACCGCAAAAGTAACCCAATTTCTCCCTCTGCTGGCCGACGATAGGGACTGCTACTTCCACACCCCTGACAAGTCTAGCTTCCTTTGTTCTTTCTGATTCCCAGAAAATAAACTGCTCCTGCTTCCAAACAGCGTCCAGCTGGGAGCTAATCTTTATTCCTTACACCAGAAGTCACCTGACACAGCCCGAACCTGTAAGGACTGTTGTAATCAAGCCCCAGAACGTCTTACTAAGATGCTCCTGGGGTTAAGTTATTTCTGGTTGCAGCAGCTTAATACCCCGTGCTCCATGACAGCCGAGCTTCCCCAGCTTCAACACCAGCTGCCAGGAGGAGAAAGAGAGCGTTCTCCAGGCGTCTTTATCGTACTGTCCTTTGCAGACTAACATCATCTGCTACCTCTGTGTGCTGCCCTGCTCTGGGCTGACATTGGCTGGGTTATTGCAACAGTCTCGGTTAAAATGAACACTTTAGACACTGTTCTAGTTTGCCTTCAATTGCTGTGACAGAACACTCTGACCAATACCAATTTGGGGAGGAAAGGATTAATTTGGTTTACATAGGTTCTGGAACTTGTGCCACCCCCCTTTATTAAATATAGGTTCTAGGGATCAAACTCCAGTCACCAGGCAAATCTAGCAAGTGCCTTTACCCACTGAGCCATCTTTCCAGCCCCGTGTAGTTGTCCTGTGACTCCGTTTACGTGCCCCCCAGGACACACAATAATAATAAATTTTAAAATAAAAATTTGTTTATGATCTCTCTTCTATTAAGATGTAAGCACCACAGAGAGCTTCATGAGTTTATGCAGTAAGCCACTGCATCCCAAGCCTTTATAACCATCACTGGCAACACATTCGGTCCCTGACATGTATTAAGTACATGACAGGTTTATTATGTTCCTTTTCACCCAAGAAGACAGGAGGTTTGCAAGAACATGGAAAAGATACGAGAGGTGGGTAAATGTGGGTGCTGCAACCTGAGTTTGGAAGGCTGAGAGGCCAACGCTGTGATCCACATCAATCTGTCATTGGTGGTCAGGGAAGAGCCACTACTTTCCTCCCTCAGGTGAAGATTGCTAAGCTGTGCCAGAGCTGGCATTGCGCAAACACGCCTCCTCAGCAGCTTTCTCAAGGCTTTCTTGGCTCCGCCCTGCCGGTTTGGCGACATGCCCTAGGGAGGAAATGTTTCCATGCAATGATTAGCTACTGCCAGAAGAATGGCTACAGAAGAGACAGTGTTTGGAAGGTAAGGTGACAGACGGAGGAATGCTGGCATCCTCTGTGAAGTCTTGCAGAATCCCTCAGGCAGTCCCTTCTGGGGACTGGAGCTGAATGGGCCTGGAGGTCTTGGGGAGAGGAAGGGGCACTCAGAGACCCATGGCCGCCCTGTAGGAGCGCTGCCACCCTGAGCCCTTCCCCACAGTGTTCGGTCTCTGTCCAGACGTTGTTATTTATGTCCTCTGCTTCTGCGCCACCTCTGGTACTGGAGAGGAGAAACGAAAGTGAAAGCAGGGCTGTTCGTTGCTAAACTCCATTCTCTACACCCTGGTGCTTTGCTCCAGGTTGCCCTGAGGATTTTCTTTCCTTCTCTACTCCTTAAATAACACCAGGTCACCTCATATGAGAGGTAGCAAGGACTGTCTGCACAAACACGTTGGTTCAAAGGTTTCACTAGCCGGTGTTCACATTATGTTGTATATGTGGACCTCAAAGAAGGTGGCTTTGTGCCTTTTGTTGGAGATGCTGCTGTTTAGATGCTCAGATAACAACAGTTTGGAGCTGTCTGATGACTGAGCAGGATCTAAAATGTCTAGAGCTAAATGAGGCCGTTGCAGTAACCTGACACACTTGGCTCTTCTGTTTGTTCAGTATTTATGTGCACAAATTTTCACTGTTAATTAACTCTCTCATCCAGTGCCTAGTATTTGCTACACACGGGAATGTACTGTCTACACATGACCTTGTTTACTGTTGTCCTCCTTTGAGGAAACAAAATTGTGACTCAACAATGTACAAATGCACAATCAGGAAGTAACAGCCAAAAGTTACTTCAGAATGTAACACACCCAGAAATCCAAGGCTGAGATCAGAATCCACATTTTTTCACAGCTACTTTAAAAGCACGCAAGGATACAAAGAAGGCACGTATGGAGTTGGCAGGCACTGTGACCAGCCTTATTGGGAATAAAGACACGCAAATGGACAAAGACCATGAAATACATTTTTCTTATTAAATAAGCTTTCTTTCTTGATATCTTTCTTTCTAAGAAGCTGTCAATTCTAGGTAAGTAAATAGGTGTACATTATATTGAAAAAAGTAGTTAGCTTTCATGACTAGTTTTGAAGCTTTTGAAAATAAGATAGAATGGCTAAACTTTCTGCAACATCATTCAAACTGTTTAAAACTTTAATTTTTAAAATATTGTTTCAGGTATTTAACTAATTAAGAACAGAAACAAGCATGTAAGTGTACATTACACATCACTACAATGCTTAAAAGGTTTTATGATATCAGAAGGAACTGTTTATAGCATGATAAAGGAACCACGCATAAAATCACTTACACGGCATGATCCCAAGCTAAAAATAAATTATAGAAATATACTAAATATTAGTAGCAGCTGTTTCTGGGTAGGGAGACTATAGAGCGATGCTTTTCTCATTTTAAATTTATATATATTCATAATAGTCTATAGTTTAGCAGTTCTGAATTAAGCAACTCACTCAATGTATTTAGAAAAGGCTGCTAGTAAAGCCAAGTTCTAGATCAGATGACTTTTCCAAATTACAAAGTACCTCTTTCCTTGTCTACAGATGGGATGTCAAAAGACTGAGAACACCTGGTAATCCCAATTTGTACTCCAAGACTCAAGTCTCAAGGAAATAAGTGTTTGTTTTTCTCAAGAAAAAGGCTGAAAGTTGCAACCACTGGCATTTACCATCATGGAGACCATGGATTGTAGCAACCCCCAAGAGGGGTCCACAGCCTCAGGTGGTCAGAGGGCTACTGGAGAAGACAGTCTTTTGTTAATTGAAGCCGTTAAAAGGCAAAATATCGATGAGATCCATAAATTGCTGGCAACAGGGGCTGATGTCAACGTTTCTGAGGATATTGGGGGCTGGACACCTTTGCACAACGCAGTGCAGTGCGGCAGGGTGGACATTGTAGAGCTTCTGCTTCGCCATGGTGCCGACCCTCATCAGAGGAAGAAGAACGGGGCCACTCCATTCATCATTGCTGGGATCCAGGGAGATGTGAAACTGCTCGAGATTTTCCTTTCTAAAGGAGCAGATGTCAACGACTGTGATTCTTATGGCTTTACAGCTTTTATGGAAGCGGCTGAGTACGGTAGGGTCGAAGCCTTAAGATTCCTTTTTGAGAAGGGAGCAAAAGTGAATTTGAGTCGAGAGACACGGGAGGACCAAAGGAGACTTAAGCAAGGAGGGGCCACGGCTCTCATGAGTGCTGCTGAAAAAGGCCACACAGAAGTCGTGCGTATTCTTCTCGAAGACATGGGAGCAGAAGTCAATGCCTGCGACAACATGGGCAGAAATGCCTTGATCCGTGCTCTGCTGAGCCCAGATAATGAAAATGTGGAGGAAGTTACCTGCCTTCTGCTGCACCATGGGGCTGATGTCAACGTGAGGGGAGAAGGAGGCAAGACGCCTCTGATGGCCGCAGTGGAAAAGAAGCACATCGGTTTGGTGCAGATGCTACTGAGCCAGGAGCACATAAACGTCGATGACAGAGACCACGAAGGCAAGACAGCCCTGAGGACTGCTGTGAAACTCAAACAGAGGAAAATTGTCGAGTTGCTGTTGCATGATAAGGGAGCCAATACCGACTGTGGGGATCTTGTTGGGATAGCCAGGCGGAATTACGACGATTCCCTTGTAAAACTTCTTCTCAGTTATGGAGCTAAGGAACATCCTGACCCTCCTGTTAGAGAATGGGTACCTCAGAGTTCACGCTGGGGAAAAGCCTTGAAAAAGCTCCACAGTATAAGTCCTCGTATAATTGGTAAACTCAAGCTCTTCATCGGTGAAGAATTTAAAATAGCTGACACTTCTGAAGGGAACATCTACCTGGGGTTCTATGAGGAGAGAGAGGTGGCTGTAAAGGTGTTCCGAGAGGACAGCATATATGCAGCAAATGAAATCTCCTGTCTGCAGTGCTGCCGGGATCACAGTAACTTTGTGACATTCTATGGGAGTGAGAGCATCAAGGGCTGTTTGTATGTGTGTGTATCCCTCTGTGAGCAGACGCTGGAAGAGTGCCTGGCCCTGCATAGAGGGGAAGCTGTGGAAGATGAGGAGGATAAGTTTGCTCACAACGTCCTGCTATCTATATTTGAGGCTGTTTATGTACTACACTTGTTGCTTGGTTACACCCATGAGGACCTGAATCCACAAAACATCTTACTAGGTGAGTTCCTGTGGTCATCTTTTCTGTGTGTCTGTGATAATACTGCAGACTGTTATAAATATATAACAGGAATTTGATAGTTCTGGAGACTAGGAAGTCCAATGTCAAGGCATAGACATAAGGCAGAGGCCTTCTTGGACTATGCCATCCATGGTGGAAGGCAAAAAGGTCAAGAGAGCTCAAGAGAGCTCAAGAGAGCACCAAACATACTTTTCTAATAGATCCACTCTCAAGATAATGAAACCATATGCTTGTTAGTGACATTAAGCCATCCATGAGGGCAGATTTCTTATGGCCTAATCAACTCTTGAAGGTCTCACTCTCAATATTAACTATAAAATATTAAAATCCCTAGTATATAACATAGGAGAAAACCCAAAGGTTGGATTTGGTGATGATTTTTTAGATGAGCTACGAAAGGCATGATCAATGAAGAAAAAGTTGTTAAGAAGCAAGAAGGGATTAACTTTTTATTAGAGATTTTTCTGTTCCACCAAAGAAACATTGTCAAGAGAATGAAAAGATGAGCCACAGTCTGAGAGAAAAAAACTTTTGCAAGAAACCCATCAGGTAAAGCATTGCTGATCACAATATGGAAAAATCCCCCGAAGTCAACAAGAAGAAAGTGGAACAACTTGGTTTAAAAGGGGGCCAAAGACATTAGAGGACTGAGGTTAAGCTTATTGGCAGTAGGGTAGAGGGAAGATTTTATTTAAAATGCCAGCACACTGTTTATTAATAGCCTGTGATTGATTTGTAGAGACTAGGCTTAAGTGTTAAAAAATAGCATGTTAACAGTATCAGCTGAATCAAATAGTGAAAGATAGAGACCCTTGAAAAGAATCAAGTCAGAAAAGCAGTGAGGTCTTCCATTTAGGCACCTTCAGAAACCAAAGTGAGTAGCAGAAACCAAAATGAGGTAAAGAAGGACAGGAAATGACTGGTTTGGATAACAGGCAACAACCCCTGGCTTCCATCTGTACCCTGTCTGCCTCTTCAGACTCTGACCGGCCACCTTATGACTTCATCCCTGCTCCCTGCTCTCTTGGCCTTGTCACAATCAGATTGGAATTGTCCAGGTTCCTTGCTGTCTCAGGAATTCCTATTTGGAGCATCCCCATCTCTGTTAAAAAAATGTAAGATTGGGATTGGTCAGTGCAACAGGAAAATGAAAGATGAGACCCACCTCAGGACAGATTGTTCTTAAGAACAATGAAGGACCATGGTTTCTCGGAGGGATGGACCTGAGGCCCTGAAGCATGGTTGGTCTCAGTTTTTATGGGGTTTAGGAAGAAAGACCAGGTGTTTTTCTGCAGTCCTGTTTTTTTTTTTAACAGGGGAATTGGGACAATGTTTTCCCAGACAGCAGTCACTGAGTTGAGGGTTGGGGTTTCACACAGTTTCCTGGCTGGGGATTTCTCCTTAGTTGGGGCTTTCCAACCTGAAACACTGATCCTTCAGTCCCCTCCCTACCCTCTTCTTGCCTTCCCAATTTTATCCCATCTCTAATCATGTAGCTTTCCTGTAATACAATAATAGAACATCTTGCGCTTTTGCCAGTGTTTCCAAAATTGCAATACTTTTTATACTTATTTGTGGAATAATTTAGTGTGTCTCCTTGTCCAGACACTAAACTCGTGGGCTGAGTTCTTCTTCACTCGTTTTAATTTTTTGGTAAATGCTTGACAAATAGTTTGATGGATTCATGTTTATGATCCTCTAGGATCCCACACAACTTTAATTCTATGTTTGGAATCAAAAGGACTCTAGATGCGTACTGGCAGATATATCTTGCCCTGGCCTCTTCCTGATACAGCTCAGATTTGTTTCCTGTCCACTACGATGTGAACTGCTCTACCAAACGCTCACTTCCATGCCAGGCTTAAACCTCTCAAACTGTGATAGAAATAAGTCTTTCCTTCTTTAAATTCCCACAGCTACACAAAAGGACTTCATATAGAAGATGTGGTATAGGCAAAGCGCAAATGAAGGTGGGAGGAATTTCAAGGAATGTGTGGGTCTCGTTCCTGTGGTTCCATGGTGTAATGGCCAACATCAGGAGTCTGCAGGCTTCTTAGGGAGAGAAAATTTATCTTCCTCATCCCCCACAGCTTCCTTTCTACACACAGCAAGGAGGTGTTTTAGTGTCTGATCACAGAGGGACACATATAAACAGTCCTGTTGCTCTCACTCCCATAGACTGTCACAAAGTTTCTATAATCTCCACAACACTGCAGACATACTGGCCTTCATCATACTTGGACATCACCCAGCCTTCTTCTTCAGACTCCTTCAAGCCAATAGCACTGGCTCACCTCTTGTAGGATAAATATCGGACTGGTTCTCCTTTTATCTCATTCCTGATGTTTAGCAACTCTCTCATCCTTCTTCCTGAAGGATCAATGTCTTCAAGAAGGAAGAAGAATCTGAAGGGGGTAGGGAAGCAATGACTGCATGAACACATCACTGACCCATGATTGTGGTCTAAAGTATCAGAGTAGTTTGGGGCTGTTTGGCTCAACTGAATGGAAAGCCATGCAAGACATTCCTGATTTAGAAACTTGTTGGTTTGTTGTTAGTTAGCCATAGGATGTAACCTTGATTAGTGCCAGCAGTTTCTTTACAAATCTGTGCTGTGTCCCAGGAACTGTGAGAATGGGGAACTAGTTAACTTTACTCTCATCTTTTCCTACTGTTTGGTGGTGATATATATTTATGTAAATGAATTGACTATCACAGCATGGAGAATTAATATTTTCCATACACCTCTGAAATTATGCCTTAGATTCCAAGAATGCTGTTCGCCTGTCAGATTTTGATAAGAGCAAGAAGTGGACGGGAGAGCCACAGGAAGTTAAGAGCGATCTGGAGGTAATTTCTTTAGTCTACTTTTTCTTTTCTCTGCTCTCTTCTTTGTTTATTATTTCAGTTCCTGTGGTCAGAAGGAAAGGCTTCTCAAGGCTTTTTTCTGTCTTGCCCACTGTCCTTGCTCCCTGGAATGCAATGGCATTTCCTTAGGTACCTCCTACCGTGGAGCTCTCATCACCATCAATAGAGGAGGTGTAATGGCTGGGTAGGTATAGAGGTGCCTCTCACCGTGGCCCCTTTTTATCTCTATTCTCCCTCTACTAGCTAAAAACGTGGTTAAATTGAACATTTGTGCCTATTCTTCAAACACTTCTTAGAGGTATTTCTGAGTACTCCAAAGGATTTTGCTACCTAAGGATAAAGTTAATGAGATTTCCTTCCCCACTCTATTCAAACTTACCAGCTGAGCTCCAAAGAAAGCCAGATATCGAGGCCTCAGAGAACTTCTGGGAGGGGTGGGTCAGTCTTCAGCTCAAAAGAGACAGAGCTTGGCCAAAGTGTTAAGCTAGCTGGTGGTCCTGAGAGGACATGGAGCTAGAGGCCCTGTGGACCAAAGTCCCCAGGCTTATTTATACCTGGTTGGCAGTTTTCTCCTGGGTAGTAACCAATGGTCAATAGCTTTGGTTCTTGGTTTGGCGGTTCCTGATTTCAGTTCTTCCCCTTTGCTGTCGAGCATAGCTGGCTCTTATGCTGAGCTTCTCCTTTGCTTTTCTTCCTCGTTGTGTCCTACCTCCTTGAATTAGCACAGTGTCCTATCTGACTGGGAATGGCTCTATTATCTGCTTCCTCATATAGTACTAGATCCAGTTCCTAGCCTTACTTGAGATATCCCTTTTGTTTAAAGCTGTCTCCCTTTGTTTAACTCATCTATAGTCTATCAGTACATTTAAGACCTAGCTTAAATCCCTCTGCTGCCAAAAAGTCTATCCCAACAACTCTGGACCAGTGTTACCCTTCATAAGCCTAAATTGTGTGTTCCATGTGATGCCTTGAAGAGTTCTCCATGAACAGAGCTGTACCTTCCTTCCCTAAGAAGCCTACAGACTCAGAGTCCCGATGTTGACCATTATACCACAGAACCACAGGAACAAGGCCCACATATTCCTTGAAATTCCTCCCATCTTCATTTATGCTTTGCCTGTACCACATCTTCTATATGAACTCCTTTTGTGTAGCTGTGGAAACTTAAAGGAGGAAGGTCTTATTTCTATCTCAGCTTGAGAGGTTTCAGCCTGGTGTGCAAGTGAGCGTTTGGTAAAGCAGCTTACATCATGATGGACAGGAAGCAAAGCTGAGCTGTAACAGGAAGAAGCCAGGGCAAAATATATCTGCCAAGACATGCCCCCAGTAACCTGCTTCTTCCAAACAGGTCCCAACGTCCATAGTCCCACCACCTCAAAATAAGTCCATTGAAAATTTGAATCTATCAGTGGGTGAAACCATCCATTAGGTTGATGTAGAGCCTGATGAAAAATTAGGAAAGTAAGGATTTTAACCACCCCACCCCACCTCTCTGTCTGACTCTGTCAGCAAAATTCAGGTGACAGGTTTGTGGTTAAAACTGTGACATACTTAGCTAGAGCCATTTGCTTTGTGTCCTGACAAAACTTGCTCAATTTTGTTTGTCTCAGACAGGGACTTTTTATTTTTTTCCTCAAGAATTAGACAAATTACTTGCTTTTTAAAACTTTTCACTGTTAGCCAACCAATATGCAATTTGCCTATGCTGTAACCTACTATCAAAGGTATAAAATGTAAAAACTTCCACTCTTAGGGGTCCAGACTCTGAGACTTGAGTCCTCTGGACCAGGCTGCAGCCATAATGAAATCTGCTTCCTGAACCTTCCCTGAGTCTTGCCTCATCTTCCCTGCAACAAGGTCACACTCTCCCAATCTAATCTCTACAAATACCCTCACAGACTGACCCATTCTCCTAGGCAGACCTGTCCAAAAAGGTTGAAAATTGAGATTAACTATCAAAGTCTTCCAAGGTTACCCAAACAGAGAGGTAACTCCTTTGCATTTTTGGCTTGGTTTGTGGCTTACGTGCAGGCCCTTGGATGGCTGGTTCTATATGTGGTAAAGAAGGGTGAGATCCCTTTTGAGACCCTGAAGGCTAAAAATAATAAAGAGATGGTGCAAGAATCTCCAGATGAAGAGACTAAGGACCTCATTCACAGCCTGTTTTCTCCTGGGGAAAATGTGAAGGACTGTTTAAAGGACCTGTTGGGCCATCCCTTCTTTTGGACCAGGGAGAAGTAAGTAAAAGGCGGTGTGTAGTACAGGCCTCCAGAAGGGGTGCAGAAGGGTGTGGGCAGCTGTTGGGCTGGGTTATCAGTAGACTCAGGCTTTTCTCCCACCTTAGCATATGCTGGCTGTGTGTCCTTGGAGAGGTGATTTAACTTGCTAGATTCTTGTTTTGACCTCTGAAGAATAAGTGGAAAGAAAGAGCCTCTCTCATGCAGAATTTCGTTTTGGTTTACTTATTTTCATTTTTATGTGTATGAAAGTTTTGCCTGCATGTATGTAAGTGCCCCTGTTTGTGTAATGCCAGAGAAAGCCTGAAGAGGATATTGGATCCCCTGGAGCTGGAGTTATGGACAGTTGTTATTGGGTGCTGGTGGGTGCTGGGAGCCAGTTCTCTTAACTGCTGAGCCAATTCTCTATTCTCTATTCTGGTTCTCTGTTCATATGCAGACTTTTTACCAAAACCCAAAGCATATTAGTTTTCTCTCTTTGCAAAGAATGGGATAACCATAGTAACTGTCTCATCCTCAGCCGTTATAGGACACTTCGGAATGTGGGAAATGAATCTGACATTAAAACTCGAAAACGTGACAGTGAGCTCCTCAAGCTGCTGCAATCAGGAACAGCTAAACCTTCCAGAAGTTTTGATCAGTGGAGATCTAAGGTACAAGCATTTCCTATGGTCTAAGAATCATTCCAGGAATAAGAGTATATGTAATGTTTTATGTTACCTTTCCTAACTTATTTTTTACCACTAGCTGTTGCAACCAGGAAGTGAAAGAGGTGGTTTTCCTTTCTTCAAAAGAGCCCTCTTGGCTCTTGAGTTTCTGCTCCCTCTGTCAGAGTCCAGGGCCCCCAACAGACTGTTATTCAGACTGCCTTAGGATGGCCTTGACCAGCCCATTAGTCATTCTGTCAAGTCTAGCCAAGAGTCCCATTATGACAAGACTTAGCATTGGTGTGCAAATATCTCTGTGGTGTGTTGACTTAAGGTGCTTTGGGTAAATCCCCAGCACCTTATGTGGGTCATGATAGGTCTAGTTTTAGTTTTTTTGAAGAAACATAATACTGATGACTGGGTTAGTTGATATACCCACAGACTTAAAATTTTTTTTAAAAATTTTATTATTTTTATTTTATGTGAGAATATTGCTTGCATGTATGTAAGTGCACTGTGTTGTGCAGTGTTGATGCGGTGCGGCAGGTTGCACGCTGCTATGCCAGCTGTTGCTGGGGTGCGCAGGTTTCGCGCACCGAGCCGCTGTGGATCCCTGCTGTGCAGGTCCCTGGCTCCCGGCGGCTACCGGGAGCTGGAGGCTCTGCAGGCCGCGATCAGCTGCCGGGCGGGTTCCGTTCCAAGCTGCCAGCGCTCCCTCTATGCAGGCGGATGCACACGATCCAGCGGTCACCGGATCACGAGGGGAGGTGCAGGAACGGCGAAAGCAGGATCTTTGCGAGTGGCTGTTGACGGAAGGATAGCCCCCTCCGGGAAGACTGGATCACAGGCTGGTTCCAGGCGCAGTGAGACAGCTCAGTCAGATTCAGTGATTCAGCTCCAGCCAAGTTTATTCAGTGATTCAGCTTCGCTTTATTGGGGTGAAACCAGAAGATTTATAGTGTGGAGGCAGTAGCAAAAGCCTCAGCTGATAGGTGCTCATAGGATGCCCTATTTACAGGCGGTGGGCTTCTATCAGGCTGTCAGACAGTGCCTGATTATCACATAGGAAAAACCTGGCAGTTTCTTTGCCAGAGGTCATGTATCTGTGACAGCCACTTCAAAGGTGAGTCAGGAAGGAGAGCAGAAGGCGCCGGCTGAGAAGAGGAGTCTCTCCATTTGTGCGGAGCCGGCTTGCGGCTATCCGGACATGGAGAGACTGCGACCCTAAACAACAGGGTTCCCCAACAGTGCAGTGCCCAGGAAGGTCAGAAGAGGGCATCAAATTCCCTTGGAACTGGAGTTATGGACAGTTGTTAGCTGACATGTGGGTGCTAGAATCGAACCTGGGTCCTCTGCAAGAGCAGCCAATGTTCTTAACCTAACCACTGAGCAATCTTTCCAGCCCCAAAGACTTTTAAATCATATTTCAATGTGCTTTTAATTTTTTTTTTTTTTTTGGTCTTTTTTGAGATAGGGTCTCCCTCTAGTCCCTGGTCTCTAACTCACAGAGATCCAGCTGCCTGGCTCTGCCTCCCAAATGCTGGGATTAAAGGCATGTGCCACCATGCCCAGCTCTTCAATATGCTTAAAAAATTAGTTCCTTATAACCCCTCAAACACACACAACTGCATTTCATGCTGTGGTATGTCATTTGCTTTCCCTTGTTTCTATCAGTGTGTTCTCTTCATTGGTAGAGAGTAGCATTTATTCAAATTTGTATTTGGCCTTTTGACATTAACACACCATCAGGATTTATTTCATGTTGCAGCATATTTTTGCATAATGTTTTATTTTTCAGATTGACAAATGTGTTATGAAAAAAATGGATGCTTTCTATTGCAAAAATAAAAATTTCTATCGGGACACTGTGGGTGATCTGCTGAAGTTCATCCGGAATATAGGAGAACACATTGATGAGGAAAAAAATAAGAGGTGAGTGCCGCTGTCATTCTTCTAAGTCAGGTATGGAATGAGAACAGTTAGAAAGCCCAAGTCTAAGTCTATCTGTGTGGAAAGAAGGAAATTTACTTTGACAAAGAAAAGCAATTATTTTCTGTTTAGAAAAGGGATCCCGCAGGCGCTTTGTCATTAATTACATACGCATCTAGCACGTCTTCCTTTTTAGCTTTTCTGGGGCCCATAGCTTGTGGCTTCTTGTAGGAACAGCGCAGGACAGGGCCTCTGTGTGATGGGAATGTAGATTTTTAAAAAGTTGAACATAATCCTATGTTAGGTAAATCATTTTTTGCTGCCAAAAATGTTAGCTGCAAACACACACAGACACACAGACACACACACAGACACACACAGACACACACACACACACACACACACACACACACACTCACGCACATGTGCATGCATGAGCAGTCTTTTTTTAGGGGAGGTTGTGGGTTGTATATAAGGATTTACGGGATTATATTATTACCATTTTTATGAAAGAAAAAAGTTCAGAGAGATTAAGTGGCCAAAGTTTTCCCAGTTATTGAAGGGTCAGGAGGGGAGTCTTGCTGGTCAGATTCCAAAGTCCTTGTTGCTTTAGAAACCAAGAAAGCAGGCTGGAGAGATGGCTCAGCGGTTAAGAACACTGACTGTTCTTGCAGAAGATCTGTGTTCAATTCCCAGCACCCACATGGCAACTAACAACTGTCTGTAACTCCAGTTCCAGGGGATCCAACAGCTTCTTCTGTCCTCCGCAGGCATTGCATGACACAGGTGCACTTACGTACATGCAGGCGTAACACTCATACACATAAAATAAAAATAATAAATAAAATATTTTTAATAAAAGAAACCAAGAAAGCTCAGTGAGCTCCTGGGCCCTACACTGTGGAGAAGGAGGAGCTAGGGCAAGTGTAAGAGGAACAATTTGTTTCATTTCAGGGTAAAGGAGATAATTGGAGACCCTTCCTGTTATTTTCAGAAGACATTTCCAGATCTGGTCATGCACGTCTATAAGAAACTGCAGCATACCGAGTACAGAAAACATTTTCCTTAGACTCAACCAGGCCTCCGTGGGATCCAGGTGACAGGAAGGGTGGACCCTGGTGCTGACTGGGTCTTACAAGTTCAAGGAACAGTTTTTTATCTGTGTAGCTTTCAGCAAGTCACAGTTCTCTGGGTCTTTTAATTAGCCTGGTTGTTTTGAGGGAATGAGTTGGCTAGCTGGCCTGTTAGTTTCTGGCATAGAAAGTCCCCCACATTTCTTTACTTACAAAAGGAGTGTTTTCCCAAACTATACTGCTCCATTTTAGTGGCAGGAACTGGGAGAACCTTCTGACGAGATCCCTCTTCTTTTCTTCTTCTTTTTTTTAAAATCTTATTATTATTGTATCTCTTTCTGTGTTTATGATGTGTGTGTGAGCACACACATACCAGTGTGCGTGTGCCATATAACATATATGTCCTAGCACACATGTGGGGGGGTAGTCATAGGAAAGCTTTGGGGAGCTGACTCTCTCCTACCTTTACAGGAATTCTGGGGATCAAACTCATGTCTCAGATTTGCATGGCAAGCGCCTTTACCTGCTGAGTCATCTTACCAGCTGAGTCATCCTACCAGCTGAGTCATCTTACCAGCCTGATTCCTATTATTCATTTCACCAAAGGAATGAGTACCAAGACCCCTAAATTTTTATATTTCATAATTGTCTCAGTCAATTCTCCTGGTGATCTTGCAAACAGAATTTATTATTTCTATTTAAGAACTAGAGGCTCAGCTTGAGTGACTTTCCCAACATCATACAGTCTGTACAGAGCACTGTATAAATGGATCTGGTGTTATTGTCACATCTCACATGGGGGCTTTGTAAACTTAATCAGCAATTCAGGGCTTTTCTGGATGAAACCCAGAAGGAATTTGCCAAAATATGCCAAAGAGGTTCCCAGAAACCTATTTATTCATTCAGTATTGTTGGATATTAATATAAATCTAGGTACTAGTTGCATGAATTCCATTCCTTCTAGAAACACCTGCACTGGTTCTTCATGATCTCCAGGCAACAGTTCTCACTTGGGGTCATTTGACAGGGTCACAACTTGGGGGATGGTACTACTGGCATTAGGTACATGGAAACCAAATTTTCTGTGATGCATGAAACTCCATTCTGGGTACCCTCTCCAGCTCCCTGGCACACAGAGGGACCTCAGCCCACGCTTCTCTCTACCTTGTACTTTTGCTCCCCTTTCCTGCAATCAAAGCTACTTAGGGCCAATGACTGACTTTGAATTTGTGTCCCCACTGTATAGTAGAAATATCTGCCTTACGGTAATGCTGAATAAATCTTCATTGACTAATCGAGTCATCTTTGTGTGTTCATAATAATAATAGATTTTATGATGCTTTAGAATTTATACATCTGCATATTTTCCAATCTCATTTTTTTGGTTTTTATTTTTATTAAAATTTTTAAATTTTATGTGTATGAGTGTATTGCCTGCATGTGTGTAAGTGCACCTGTGTCGTGCAATGCCTGCAGAGGTCAGAAGAGGTCAGATACCCTGGTACTGGAATTATGGATGGTTTTTAGCTACCATGTAGGAATCGAACCTGGGTCCTCTGCAAGAGCAGTGAATACTCTTAACCACTAAGCCATGTCACCAGCCCCCTTTTTTATGTTTTTGAGACTCTGTAGCTCTGGCTGGCCTGGAATTCATTGCAGAGACCAGGCTGGCCTTGATCTCACAAAGATCTGACTGGCTCTGACCCCTGAGTGCTGGGATTTAAAGTATGTCCCCACACCTGGCCTCCCATTTTGTGTTTGAAACAGTCCTATAGGGTACGATTCTGACATTTATTTTGAGGAGGAAACTCAGACTAGAAATATTTTGATTTACTTTAGGCATATGGCTAGGAAGTGTCACTGTCTTGATTTGGATAAGTTATCTGGTGTGACATCAGATGTTCTTTCCACCTATCATTGTGATGGTTAAGGTGGGGCTTGGAATAGGAATTAGATGGTGTCTTAGAGTACTTCCAAAGGAAGTGTCTGACAATGGGAAGATAAGTATCACTAAAAGGAGTTCAGATATACTGGAAGAAATAAGCTGAAGACTTTAAAAAAAAAAAAAGCCTTATTAGCACATAAGTTGTTTTAGGTTTTAAAATTGAGCTTTGGTTGTTAATCAAAATGTCTATGTGCAAAGCATATTCAATAAATTTTTGAATCCTTTTATTAAGTCTGATTTTCTTTGAGTGACATTTCTGCTTTAGTGACTTGTGATGTCTATAATAGAACAGAGTAAACAAGTGATGCGGGAAACTACTCCTGGGGAGATATGAACAAATGTCTATTCACCCCAGGTGAGGAACCAACAACAGACCAAAGTAAGAATACCACCAAAGTCCAGTTTGGTGAAACAACGAGTTTATTGGTGTTACTTACAGGAGTATGGGTGAGGGATTACTTACGGGAGCAGAAACGACCCACAGGCAGCTGCATTACCAAAAGCCTGCCCCAGAATGGGTGACAGCTCATAAGGCAGAAAACCTGTAGCATACTGTACAAACTGCACGCAGATCGACAGGTTGGAGAATGTCCTTTCCAGGTAGCTTGGCTGGTCTTACAATGTCTCTCTGCAGTCCTTAAGGCTTACATAAGCTTGGGGAGAGTGTGGCCTAGTAGACTATGTTTTAAGGAAGGACATCGTGGTCTTTAAAAATGTGAATAGAATGGGCTGGGAAGATGGCTCAGTGTGTAAAAATGCCTGTTGTGTAAGCACAAGGACCTGAGTTTGAACCCCAAGAATACGTGAAAGCCAGATGTATAGTAAAAGTGTCTCTAACCCCTATGCTCCTACCAGGAGATAGGAGGCAGAGACAGGAGAATCCTTGGAAGCTTGTAGGTCAGTTAGCCTGGCGTTCACAGCTAAAATAAAACAGAGATGCCTGTATCTAAAACAAGGTGGAAGGTGAAGACCACCACCTGACTTCTACACACAGGCACATGTCCCCCTGCATTCACATATACAAATGTGTACACATGTACACTGACACAAACACACACACACACACACACACACACACACACACACACGAAAAGGATTCTATTTCCATTCTAGAACTGTAGAGATTGATGCCCTTGTGTACACAGATGGAGGGACTGGTCATTTTATCTTCAACTCCATTCTCTGAAATTTTTGGAGGATTTTTGACTGACATTTAGAAAATGTTTTCCATTCAGTTGTCACTGCTATAGACATTTCACTGAGCATGTAGCTCATATTTAGGAACTGCATTAGGCAACGTGTGGAGGGCTTTGCCACACAGGAGATGCCGCTTCCCAGAGATGGGAGGACGTCACACATTCAGAACATATTGGACAAACAGTGTAGGTGAGAGTAATAGTGATAAAACTACCCCATTCCCAAGCATGTGTTTTCTGGTACTCAGTGCTTTTGTCTGTGATATCCATGATGTCCATGACTATGCCAGAAGAAGTGGTTGTTCCCATTACATAGAAGAAACAACAAATACTCAGAAAGGGTTGCTAAGATGCCATAGTCTGCACAAGTAGTAAGCAGAAAAGTCAGGATGGAAACGCAATTGGTAAGCCCATTGAGTATGGCTTTCTGGATGCCAAAGATGTAAACTGAGGCAGGAGGAGCTGGTCCCTGGTCGCTGTCCAGAAAGCCACTTCCACAATCACAGTGCTATTGTTGTAATCATCCTCATGTCCTGCCCCTGAAATCTAGCAGCTTCCAGAAGAAAGCAAGTTTCAGTAAATATTTGAGTGAAGAAATAAATGCTTCTATGCTTACAGTATAGCACCAAATTATAGCCGCCAAGAATAAGATCGTGTCTGTTTTTATGCTTTGAAGAATTATTTTTTTAATTTCTTGAAAAATTTGATAACCACATGATTAGAAGAAGCATTTCATTACAGCTTTAACAGATTCAGTAACACACTTCAGAGCAAGGATACATCTCTTTCAAAAGTGGCTGTAAATTTTTAGGTTCGCTGTTGAATGAATACAGTTATACAATATTGAACTCAGTATCAACCCTGTAAGATATAAAATTGAATGTGTTTTTACCCTGTAAATAAGATCTCCATTTCAAGATATGCTGTTTCCTACATTTTTTAATATTATTCTTTAGTTTTTTTTAGAAGAAGCATATCATTACAGCCTTAACATGCCCAATAACAGTTTCCAGAGCAAAGACACAGCTCCTTCAAAAGTGGCTATAAAATTTCTAGGTTCACGGTTGAATCAATACAGTGATACAGTATTGAACTCAGTATAAGCCCTGTAAGTCATAAAATTGAATGAGTTTTTAACCCTCAGAAGAGATCTCCATTTCATTCTAAAATACACTGCTTCTTACAGAAGGACTCATTGTTTTTGCTACTAACACAGATGTTGGCACATGTGTCTCTAATCTGTATGTATCTGATTATTACTAGTCATAATCATTTGCACTCAGGTCCTTGGCACCTGTGTATGTCTATAAAGTCATTGGGTAGATTTCAATGGTAATGTTCATCACCTCTACTAATTAACATGACAGAAACTTTAATGCTTCCTCCTCAAATATAATACATTTAAAAAATTTTGTTAATTTTTTTTCTGTGTGTGTATATCCCACAGAACATCCCAAACCATCTTATTCAACTATACACCCACTTCCCAGATGGCACCCTCCCTTAGCCTCTCTTCCCCCACTAGAGCACTTATACTCTGTTATCCCTGCTCCTGTCTGCTGTATTGTCGGCACCCCCAGCCATTCCCCACTACTTGTCCATCCAGTGAATCTAGTCAGCCTGTCTAGAGGTCTTTGTTTTAGGAGGGTCAGCTGTTCCTCATCTAGCAGCAATCAGTTGTCAATATTCTTTTAGATAAGATTGGGGTCTGCTGTTCATTATCCCAGTTCTATGCCGGGTTACTATCTTATATATGTATGCTCTTATGATATTATATTGGCCCCTTTAATCTTTGGTGTTTAAGGCCATACAGTTGGACCAGATAAACCGATTTATTTTTACTCCTAAGGTCGTTTGAGGATCTGTTTCTCAGGGGTCACATGGGCTTGGGAGGAGTCCCTGGCTCCTTTCTTTTACCAGTTCTACCTATGTGAAGATAAGTCAAAGGTCCTGCTTGACCGTGGCTGGCTTCTCTTGGAAGCATGAGAAAATGTTTCCTCTGGGTCGACCCTCCTCTTTGTAAACTGGACATTGGTTCATGTTCAATGGGGACTAAGAGGGCAAGGAGCAAAATATGTCCTTTATGTCCCTCTGACCAAATTAGTATAGGCCTCAAAGTATGTCTGTTAAACATCCAAGAATGTAAGTTCCGCCAGTCTGGTACTTTTAATTACTGTGTGCCATGTAGATAAATCTTGGGCAAAGACCAATTGTTCTCACATAAGCCTTACCCAGACATATATTTCTTGATCTGGTATGTATAATTTGTCAGTAAGTTGTTGGAGTAATGTGGTTCCCTCTGATTTTTAAAACTAGCTAGGCATTATTTATCTCTTGCATTGTCTCACCCCTCCATCATGGTTTCCCCAATTAAGGTGCCCCCCATTTCTCCCCTTTCTCCATTAATAATACCCTTCTTCTATGGTCTTACCTCTCTTGAGCTCCTTCTTTCCCTTTATCCCCTAGGTTCCTTGTATACCCTTCCCTCCCCTCTCCTTAAACTATCCCAATTTTTATCCATACCTCCCTTATTAATGCCTGTTTCCTACTGTTCTTCTCTTTCAGGTTCTTTCTTTTCCTTTACCTCCCTGTTTCCTTTCCATTATCCTGGTTCCTGTAGTTACATCTGGATACATACTCACTTACCAGGATTTGGTTCTAGGATCCACATATGAGAGAGAATATACGACAATTGTTTTTCTGAGTCTGTGGTACTTCACTTAGTATAACAGTTTCTAGTTCCATCCAGTTACCTGAAAATATCATGGTTTAATCTTTCTTTACCATGAGTAGAACTCCATTGTGTAAGTGAACCATATTTCCATTTATCCATTCGTTAGCTGAGGGACATTTACGTTGCTCCCATCTCTTAGCCATTGTGAAAAGAGCAATAACAAACACAGATGTACAAGTATCTCAGCAATAGGATGAGTCCTTTGGGCATATGCCAAGGAGTGGTATAATTGTGTCAAATGGTAGGTTAACTTTTAGTTTTTGAAGAGTTCTCCATACTTCTTTACATAGGATATTGAACAAGTTTGTAGCCCTACCAGCAGTGGATGGGTGTTCCCCTTTCCCCACATCCTCTCCAACATTTGGTATCATTTGTTCTCTTGATCTTAGCCAGTCTGACTGGGTTAAGATGAAATCTTAAAGTGGTTTTAATTTGCATTTCCCTAATTACTAGTGATGTTGAACATCTTTTAAGATGCTTCATAGCCATCTTTACTTCTTTTGAGAACTCTCTCTTCAGCTTCTTAGCACATCTTTTAATTGGGGTACTTCTTGT